CCGAAACAGATCATGTAGCGTTAAAATTAGAAACAAATTGTTTCTTAAGATCTGTCTAAGATAGAGAAAATACTGACCTGTAGAAACATCTTAGAATTAATTAAGTGCCTTTTCTTTCTGAATTTATTCACTTCCAAGATCAAACATATTCCTCTCGGAAACAAGCGCCCAACACCGACCTAAAAAAGAATATAAAACTCCTACCCACATAGGAAATATAAATGAGCTAGCATATTTTAGAAATTCTACATTTAGACCCCTATTTGTTCACTATTAATAGTAATAGAAAAATGTAATGGATATGTGAGAGATTCATATTTCCAAGAGTATCAGAAGAAATAGAACCTCTCGACATGCATCATGCTCTGAAATATCGCTTTTACAACCTATGGAATTTTAAATAGCAGCCCCGAAGCCCTATAGAAATTTAAAGTTTTAATCCCTAAGCCTTAAAGTCCTATAACGTTTCGTAGTACGTAACGCAGCCGATCGTGGTTGTGATCTAAAAAAGTATAGAAGCACAGGCATCTTGGGGGGAAGCTATTAATATACATACATTTATAAAAAATGGTGTCGAAGCCTTTCCGTGCAGAACATTGCTGAACAGGATTGTCTTCTCATGGCACCAATTCTTTGTGTGTCATGGAAGCTTGTTGGGATCCCTGTCTCAAGAACCAGTGACTTGTGCCCGAATCCCCGACACGATCGGTCATTGATTAGAGCCAACGCCGAGTGCGCTCAGGTCGCCTGTTCCACTTGAATAGATGTATTCTTCACTTCGTACAATACGCAAACACCCAGATCGGACACGGCTGTGAACTCCAGGCGTGCGCACTCCAAGATGATACGGCACCAAATCTGGCAGAGCTGCAGGTCTGCCAGGAAGGCGACTCCATCGTAGAAGTCGAACAAGGCAGGTTCCAGTCCAGAGGTGTCATTTCTGTCCGGTGCATCAAGAAGGATTGGTTCACTTCGATCTTTCGATGCAAAGATTGTCAGGAACCCCTTGGCGTCGGTCGCGCTGCAATCCAGCTTTAAACCTCCAGGGTGCAGTTTTTGTGTGTTTCAAGTTTCAAGCATTTTGCAAAAATCATTTGTTTTCGTGGCTTCAACCACACAGTCATTGCCCGGCCAGTGAGCCTGCTGCGAAATGCGCACCTGCAGCACAAAGGCTTCCAGTTATCGCATACACCTCCACCTTGGCAAGGGGGACTGACAATTCTTGCGCAAAGGTCGTCACATCATCGCTGTGGAACACCGGATGCAGGAAAACGGAGGAGGTTGTAAATGCGTCGTGAACCAATTTGGGCCGCAGTGCCTGGATGAACGCGGAAAAATGTGTGGTGTCTGTTTTGTTGGACCTGCTTGATTCGGCACGATTCACACGCTGATTCCACATGATTGTCAGATGCTTGAGGGTTCCCTCAGACAAATAGTGCATGTCTTCGAGCGTGGTTGCTGCTTGCTCGAGCGAATCCACATTCTGGAAAATCACCGTGTGATGCTCGCTTGCTTGCAGCATTGGTGAGCAAAATATACTCGTCATGTCTATTGAGACGGGAAAGGCCCAGATGCCCAGAAACAGTGAGGTCCAATTCGAAGTTGGGTGCTGGTAGACAAGGCTCCCAGGCCTATCCATTTGCTGGAACCGCAAGAGCCATTCGTCTTTTTGGGAGCTAGAGCAGAGGCTTTGCCTTAACCCGGCAACTTGTTCGTGGGTTGCCACATCCAGTGTTGGGTCTGCAAAGCCAGCTCGGGAAGCGGAGCTGAAACGCCGCGAGGTTGTAGTCGTCGCTCCATTCGCGTGTGTCTTCTGCGAATATCGATACTGTCCAGACTGCAAGGAGTGAGCCAAAAGCCGGAAATTCTCCATGATTCCGGTGTCGGTCTCTGACAGCTTGCCTGTTGGCAGCCAAAGACCTTCCCCTGTAAAGGCTTGTGGGGTCCAGGATGCCGTGGGATTCTCGCTGGGCGCATAGGCTGCTAGGTTGATCTGTTGTCTCCTTAGCAGCAACCCGCAAATGCTCAAGGTTTAACTTGAAGCGGCTGTGTATACCCCCGTGAAGACCAGAAGCCCATACCTTAACAAAAGTTAGCCAACGTAAGGGTCTTCTCCTCCAGCTTTGCGAGGACGGGGGCTTTCATCTTCCTGAAGATCAAGCCACGGACGTATGGCCAAGCAGTTGGGAAGTGTTCCCTCGCCAGGGCGCTCAAGTCACTGGCGGCTGTTCTCAATGCGCCATTCAAAGCCCAAGCCTGGAGCTGATGTGGGTTTTCACCTTCCAGGGTTGGTCACCCGGTCCATGCATTCGCTTCGTGCATTCATGTGCGTACCCTCCTGTTATCAACTGATGGCTTGTCGAGTGATTCTTGGGCAATGCATTTCAACAATGAAGTGCAGTCGTGAACCTGCAAGGCCGACCTGCAAACCCTGGAGCTCCGAAACAAATCGACTCACAACCTCAATACTGGTGCCTCGAACTGCAGGCATCTGGACCCGAGCGGCTTGCGTGCATTTCTCAAACATCGAAAGGCCCAGGGCCAGAAGGACGGCACCCAACATCGACGCCATGATACCGAACGCTGGACGAATCTGAGCCCCGAATTGCTCAATCTTTGAGCAGCTGCAGGAATTCCCCAATATGTCTTGCCAGCCCATGTCAGGCCCAGGGCCTAGAATCCTACCATACGAGAAATGGATTTGAAGCTGAGGATCAAGGTGTGCTGATTCAACGGGCTTTCAGCGCCCGGAACAAGTCCCACCAAACTAGCTGACACATGCGAGGGGTAGTTTGTGAAATTCGAACGCCCCTTGTCTTGCAATGGCATACTCAACCAACAGATCTCTTGCCACCACTTGGCAGAAGGAACTAGACAAAGGAACAAACACACTAATTTCGCGCATAGAGCGCGTTTAGCCACGCTGCATTTGAGCTATGTGGGCTTATGGGCCGTCTTTACACACAGGCAGTTGCATCTCTCCTTTTGCTTCCCCTCGTCTCCTGCCAGTACTTTCTTGTTTCCCTTCGTGTCCCTCCGCCTTCCCTCCTTCACTCCCATCTTGGATGTGAACAGAAAACCTTCGCCTGAGCAGAAAGCTGTCGCACACTTTTTAACCTGGGTAAGTCTCAAACAGCTCCTCGACTCGTCTGCGGCACAGCCTCAGTGAACTCAATGCTTGGTCAAGGCTCCAACTCCAAGTGTCCTTCGAGTTGCCATCGAATACCAGAATCATGGGCAACTCATGGGCAACTCACATTAATGGGATCAAGTGACGGGCATCCATGTTCGTTCAGTTGTAGCTGCAAGGCGCACGGCATGCAAAAGGCATGGTGCCGGCAAGGAAGCAAAGCGCAACCGACCTTGGGCCCAGTGAATTGTCGTTGGTTTGCTTTCTTTCATGTAGGTGCTACAAGTAGCAATTTGGCTTGTCCATTAGTTAACCTCCCTACTTGGGAGCAAATACAAGTTGTCATATCATGGCAAGTTGCTGCTAAATCCGTGTGCCACGTGGTACTTCGCTATCAAGTGTGTTACTTCCGTCAGGCCGGGTCTGTCTCCATGGCACTTAAAGCCTAAGCGATACAAGATGCAATTGTCTTCAAAGCCTTCCTATTCGTCAAGAAGGCTCCCTGAAAGCCAACAAGTACAGACATCGAATGTCCCCAGGGGCTACGGCTACCTGGTATGAAAGGATGTATATGACCCTCGTAGCCCAAGAAGGAAAAATGTAAAACCCTCCTAAGGGACGTAGGCAAGCTTGCGTTCAGCCAGAAGACCTGTCAGGGACTTGATTGGTCAACATTTTGGGGGGTTTGAGGGCTTCGGGCTCAGGCCAGCAACACCTGCAACTCACCAGTGCTTGATGCCACCGAGGTCTTTTTTCGGAGAAGTGCGTCGAGCATGTACGTCGAACCACTCGGCATTTGCAGATGGAAACCATGCAGCTACGGCGGATCTGATGTGCGGATTTGCAACGGTGGTGTACAGGTCCAGAGCTTCGGTGAACGAGTGCCATTCCGCCCCTGCAATCAAGTCGGTAGCAAAGTCGCCGAATAAGCCGGTTGCACTCTCCTTCAGCTGCTTTGCACCATGGAGGGTGCATTCACCAGAGGACGTTGACCTCCTAAGCGCTTTCGAAAGTGGTGCTGTAGACATGTGCCGTAAACATGAGACTCAAGAGAGCAGTGAAGCCGCATGTGCTAAACATAGCCTTGGACGAGATGCAAAAAACCATGAGGCGATTGGCGCACAATCTTGAAGCTTTGGTAGCCGAGAGCTGCCAAACGCATCAGCACAGAGCTGTCCTCCATCCTTCAGCCAGTGCCGTGCTCAAGCTTTGAGAAGCCGCAAGTTCAACTTCCCTGACAAAACATTATGTTTTCCTGATTGCAACGTGTGCTTGTGAGCAGAAGCCAAGAGACTCCGCTGATATTAGCTGTGGCCTGAAGCTGTCAGCAACCCCGCCAAGAGAGTCGATGCAAATCTTTGTTGCATCCTCTACATCGATCTTCATATAGTACGGAGCCCCATGCTGAAAAATGATGTCAGCGCAGCTCATCGTGACCAGCTGCACTGTGTTTGCAAACCTGAGGGAGGTGGCAGCCAGGGGCACTACGAACATCCTTCTCGAGATCTTGCGAGATCTGGCGAGTGAGGGCTTCCCGCCTGTCAGAGTCGTATTGGGGCAAACCAGCTTCTCCGGCTCGTTCAAAGTCCAAAGCATGCATCGAGCCCACGAACTTCTCGTGCCCTTGTCCTCAGGGAAGTGACGCTGGACTTTTCTTTGGTATGCCAGCTATGTCCACACACCTGCGTGTGCTCTGCCAAGCATGTGTGTTTGGCGTTTTGCGATTTGTTTTGCGGGATCTGCGACCTCATGAGCACAAACCCGGGCGCTTCATGTCCTCTGCTGATCTTGGCATTGTGAAGGCGGAGGCGGCCACTTCGAAGCGCCGGCCCCAATCGGCTCGCGGAGCAGTTGGCTGCAGTAGGGTTTGCCTGCCAACAGGGAATTCTATCGGTGCCAATCTGAAGTAGCTACCGTGCAACATGCCTCGTATGCCAGTACTTGAGCACCAAGTGCCACGTATAGGGAGCTGTCCTCAGGAGTCAACTCAAAAGTCGAGGCTAGAATGGAATTCTGCGGATGCTATATTGGGACATCTCGGGACATCTCTAGACGTGTGGGATGGGCTCCGCTAACCGCTAATCCGCTAATGGAAGCTCGAGTCCAATCCACCAGCTGCACCCACGTCCACGATCATGGGCCGATCCCGCAGCGACAAGTCATCCAGCAACCAGTGATAGCGCCTTGTGACTTCGGGACGTGTATCACATGGTACATGATTGTTACAGCACCAATGTTTCAACGTTTAGATTGCGAGTGGACTTGCGGGAGCATGGGCCTCCCAGTTGACAACCATACCAGGTATCGCATCTGCTGCGGAAGCAGCCCAGTCAGGCGAAAGAACATCTGCGACTCCAAATCGCAGCTCCCCAAGAGTTCCTAACAAACGGCAAGGAGAGTGCCGGCAAGCAACAACTTCAGAGACTTAGATGCTGTGCATTGTGCATGAAGCTTGTGCTGGTTGCACGTGCTTGAGATTTGGATGGTTTGACAAAATGGTGCCAACTTCAAAATGCACTCCGATTGAGCTTTCGGCCATGTTTGGGTCAAAAACCGATCATGACATGTCGCTACTCATTCACTTTTAGTTGCCTCTGAATAGTTGGTGCATGTTGGTGCGCTGTAATCAACTGCAGAAAGGGCGCCTGGAACAAGCGCACGTAGTCCACCAGCTGCTGCACAGGGATTGCTTGTAGCCACTCTCCGTTGTGGCTGAGATGGTGGAGCTCATGAAAAAGATACACCACACTCTGAAGAAGGCAGCCCGTTGCCAAAGAAGCGTTGACGTCCGAAGCCTTGACTATCCTTCCTGCAACAACGAATCTGAGCTCATTCCCCTGGTGAAATGCCCGAAAAAAATTGAGAGGTTGACCTCGGCAGTCTTGGTTCCTGTTAGGGTACACGGGGTTCGACACCAAACAGGTGGAGGTGAAGGCTGGTTCGTAAGGTACTGCGCAGCAAGCAAACGTCAGCAGCTGATTGTAACCCCAGCACTGCGGACGAATGGGATGACAACAATGCTGGGCAATTGGTGTTGGGAAGCAGCCCTGAGGTCGCACTCTGAGACGTGGAACGTGCCACTCATGTTGTGGCCAGGACATGGTGTCTTTGTTGCCACATGCCTGACCAAATACGGCAACAGTACCGAAGTGTCTTGCATTCCATGACACTTCCTTCCCAGCAGCTTGCCACTGAAAACGCAAGTAATTCGTTTGAAAATGCAGCACTTGGCGTCCAGGACGTAGTGTTGCTGCATGAGCATAGAATATGCCATCAGGAGAAACAAAAAGCCTCAGCGTGACAGCGAAGCCGTTCACCACCTCCTGAATCTGTGATCCTTCGCACAGAGTAAATGCCACATCCAGTTCATCTTGAATAGTCAGCCCTCCAGCAATCAAATCAGAGCAGTTGCCATTTGTGGCAGCGAAGAACAAACAGCCCGACAGCAGCTGCTCTTTAATGGCCGATGTGACGCGAGAAGCAAGTACCAAGGCTGCAAAAACACGCTGAACATTGGGCATGTGCTTCCAAGCGCTGCACGGGCATGGCACTGGCGCTAGCTGCCATCCGTCATCGAGGCTATGCTGCAGGAAGAACCTACGAAAGGCTGGGAACCAACCTGCGGCATTGTATTTGCGGATCCGTTCAGGAAGGCGGGAACCAACCTGCGGCATTGTATTTGCGGATCCGTTCAGGAAGTCCAAAGGATGGACAGTATGAAGGCTTCCCAGCAAGTTGCTTATGTCAATTTCGCGCAAGAAATTCCAACTTACTCATGCTGAGACCACCGTCTGGCTGCATCCGAGCGGCTTCATTCTCAAAGCAGACCTTGCACAGGATCCTGGGATCCACAAGCAGGAAGTCAAGCAGCTTCTGTTGCGAATAGCCGCCAGCAGCTTCTGTCTCTCCGAACCGTGTGGCTTTGCAGACGTGTCGTACTCTACTAGTCTAGCAGCTCATACCAACCTTGAGGACTGTTATGGGAACGTGCCGTCCTGCATGTCCCTATAACCCCTGCCAACCCTGCCAACATTTCAGGAGGTTTTAAGCATCTGCTCGACTTCCTTTTCTTGGGAAGGCTTCTCTAATTCTCTAAGCTCTAGATGCGCACGCTGCACAGCTGACATCAAAACCCTCCAGCAGCTCTCGAGGCCCCAGGGCTAGCAACTTGCAAACAGGCTCTCATTCTTGAAAACAACCAAAGCAAACCACAAGTTCATAAGCTGAGGGGCGAAGTGTATTGGACTTGCTTTGTTATTCTAAAGAGCAGGGAGTTCTGGTTCTGGTCAATCAACAAGGATTTCTGTATCCAGTGCTCTTTGTGCATAGCCCATGCAAGTGCCACATGTCCGATTCTGAGTTTCGACCCACGGCCAGCTGCTTGAACGGTGGCAGCGCTCTCGCGGGCTGCAACACGCAGGGAATTGATCTCTGCCTGACAGAAAATTTTCACAGCCATGCAGGGCTGATGCAGCAGCTCAAATGGCTGGTGCCTGAAGGTCGCCCACCTTGCTTTCTCGCAGCTGTGCCTCTGCCTGCCACATTGCTAAACAGCAGGACCAGCAAGGACCAGCAGATGTTAGCTGACATGCCGCAAAAGGTCCAACGTCTAGCTGTGCAACATTTTTCTTGACCGTCCCGGTCTGTGCCTGCAGTATGGCCAAGCGGTCCTTTAGGTCGGCATCTACCTGGATAGATTGTTGAATGGGCAACGCTATGTGACAATTGATGGCCTGGTAGCATGTCCCGAATACACATCATGGCCCAACGCATGAATTTCTCGATGATGGCGAGGAAGTCCAACTGCGTCTTTGAAACGTGGAGCGCCGCATCGCAAATGGACGGAGTAGCGATGCCGGGAAACACCGAGGTGCTGTGCTATTCTATTGCTCGTTGTCTGGGTTTTGTGAACTAAAAGTAGCCTCTCAGCATCAACAGTGCCCTGAGTTCAAGCTTTGCGCGTGCGCGTGTGTGTGTGTGTGGCTGCCACTGATTCAAAACAAACTACAGGCTGCTTAGGCAAAGTCGGGTGTCGATTGGCAAAGTTCGACTTTTCAGCCCCAAATGTGCTAAATGTGCTGCCATGATGCTCTCGGAGGTGCTGCCCCCGATTGCGGCATCAGCAGTAGTATGGCAGCAATATACGCGCAGGAGAGGCAAGCCTTCGCAGAACCATACTTTGGTGCTTAGTGACGTGCTTCACACCCTCTGCTGAGATTTCTGCAGTGCTCTGGTGAATGGCGGGTATACTGCCGAACGTCATCAAGCAAGTCTTGATTACGAGCATGCACACATGTAAGTACACAAGGATGCAGGCCATGAAGATGCAGCGAATGAAGCCAGCACGCCCTTAGCCTGATCCATTTCTGACTTTGTTTGCCCAGGCCTAACGCGGCTAGCGTGGATAAATAAATGTATCACACCTCGTTTGTGGGCTTGTGGACTTCATGTGTGAGCTTTGGCTTGATGAGGAGCCAGCATCAAAGAGGTAGATAGCTAGCACCGAGATCTTTCAATGCCGATCTATGCCTCAAAGGCAATCTCCATTTCGCAAAATCAGCAGAGCAGAACATGTACTTAGTGGGGTCGTATCCCCGACCAGAATCTGCAACAACACAACAAATCGGCGCAGCACTTGCCAACAATGATACTGAATGATGAGATGAATTGATCCTTCTCGCTGGTCGTGGTGCACTCCCTCTGGGTGTATAAACCGCCAACCACAGCTAATGCAAGTCTTTGAATTTGCAGAGAGAACGGCCTCTGGACTGCATGCCTGAAAAGCCTTCCGTCACGGTGAGATCTCAAAACTTCCGCTGTTTGGGGAGTTTGAGAGCCTTGGGTCGTAAAACTTGTTGCAACTGTGGAGGGTGGAGAGGGCAAAGAAAGGTGTAGAGAGAAAGAAAAATGTAAACAGGCAGAGCGCCTTTGCGCGCGAGCACACACACACACACACACACACACACACACACACACACACACGCACGCACGCACGCACGCACGCACGCACGCACGCACGCACGCACGCACGCACGCACGCACGCACGCACGCACGCACGCACGCACGCACGCACGCACGCACGCACGCACGCACGCACGCACACGCACGCACGCCACGCACGCACGCCGCACGCGCGCACGCGCGCGCGCGCGCGCACGCGCGAGCGCGCGCACGCACGCGCGCACACGCGCGCATGCGCGCACGCGCACGCGCGCACGCGCGGCTGCGCGCGCACGCACGCACGCAAGCAAGTACGCACGCACGCGCGCGAAAGCACGCATGCATGCGCAGGCACGCGTGCACGCACGCACGCATGCACGCGTGTGAGGACGCGTGTGTCAGAGCATCGTATGATGATCTTACTATGTGACACGATTTTCATGTGCGCCACACCCCTGGGCCAAACGTGTGCCCTCATCTACTTACTGGCCTTCGGCTGCTGGAAGCAATGTGTATCAAGTCAGAAGCAGCATCCAGGCTTCCTGAATGACCCGTGCTGCACCCTTGCATCGAAAGCCGCTTCCGAAAACCATGACAACCCAAAGCAGTTCTAGCCACTCAGCCTCCAAAGCGACTTCTTGCCACCAACGAGGGAAGCGCATCTGGGCAACGCCAAGACAGCCCGCCAGCACTGTACTCCAGCTGGCGAGACTCCGTGGTGAGCACCAGCCCAATCTGCCAGCGTTCTCAAGTATGAAAGAGCTTTGTGAAGTAGACTGGGTTTCTGAAAGTGAGGTTTGCGCGGGCACGTGATGAGGGTAAAACGAGAATCCGCCAAGGCTGCAGACCTTTGGAGTGTTGGTAGCCTTAAAGCCTCCCAAAAAATCCTTTCTGCATCTTACCACCCAGCCTTCCTTCCGGACACCACGGTCAACCCTACGGGTTCTCAAAAAGCATTTTGGCAACCAATTCACGATCTTATGTGCATGAACAGGCCTGAGGTGGAAGCCAGCAGGCAACAGTCCCAAGAGATTCGCACCTCAAAGGGCAGTGAAACCGGTCAGACTCAGACTGCTCTCTCAGCATCCTTGGCTGGGCCCCTGGCATCTCCAGCGCAGCCTCAAGTCTGTGAAGGCTGCTTGGAGAAGGAAAGCGTACCCAAGCACGTAGACAGCCTGCTTGAGCACAGCTCAACGGCCCAACGACGGTTTCCCTCAAGTACTTGTTCTGCAGGATGTTCTCTAGGACCGATTGCTGGACTGATCGGGACTGTGCTCTGCTATGCAATGAATCATGATGCATCATGTGATAGTGCTTGCTGATGCTGCCTCATTAGAGGACAAGCCTGGCGAGGCTGATCAGATCTGTATCAACTGAGCCATGCAACGCTAGGACGCAAATGTGCCCGGTACCGCCGTATACTACCAATGCAGTCAGCGGTGCTCCGCAAGATGTGCGTGTGTGTGTGTGTGTGCGCGCTTTGAGCTTGGGATCCGGCTTGAACATTTGGAGATTCTGGATTGCAGCCTCGGTGACCACACTGCAGCAAGTTCTACAGATTGCAACACGGTCTAGCCATGTCTAGCCCAAAGCTCTGCCATGAGTCCCCGACGCATGCTGCGGTACCAATCGCGAGACATTGCAAGAAGGGTAAGTAAACTCTGGCCAGGGTCAGTGTCGCGGCGAACTTCGCAGTGACCTTCGTGGTGACCTTGGCGATGACCTTCATGCCGACCTTGCTGGTATGCTTCCCGTGTTGCGGCTCCACCTTGCAGTCCCTGAAAACCCATTGCGGCAGCTGCTCTTCGCTTGGGTCTGGCGATAGCCTGACGGGTCGGCCATTTTGCTTTGTTTGTTTGTTGAATGCTGGGCAATGCTCACTGCAGCACAGACTACGCAAAGCGTCAAAATCAAAATATTTGTTTGCTTTTTCTTTTGATGCCTACTTGTGACTCTTTCAGGTTTGTTCCCACGACTTACTTACTTGCCTTTTTCGCCTAAAAACGACAAACCCGAAAAACCTTGCTCAGCTGTAACTTTTCTTTTGGCCTATGAAGTCTTCTGAGGTTTTGGGCCTGCTACTAACGTCTCCTGTTACGGCTTCGGGATTACCCCGTCACCCACAAATTTGGTTCAGGGCTTAGGGCTTGCAACCCAGCACCTCCTTTTACAGTTTAGGGCTTGCCGGCGCAACATCTGCTTGTGGGGGGTTAAGGCTCGCCACCCAACATCTACTTTCAGGGATGAAGGCTTCCCACATCTTCCCACCCAGCATGTTTTTTAGACTTGCTACCGGCTTGCCACCCAACATGTTCTTTCAGGGCTTAGGGCTTGCAGCTTAACATCTCCTTTTTGGGGTTTAGGGCTTGCCCAACATGCCCGTTGAAGGCACCCAACATCTTCTGTTTGGGGTTTCGGGCTTGCCACCCAACATCTAAACGATTTAGGGCTTGCAACTTAACATGTTCTTTCAGGGTCAGGGCTTGCTACCCAAGATATTTTTTTGGGGGCTTAGGGCCTGTTACCTAGCATCCCCTGTTAGGGTTTATGGCTTGCCACCCAACATCTTTCTTAAGGGTTGAGGGCTTGCCACTGGACATTCCCTTTTGGATTGAGGGCTTGCCACCCAACATCCCCATTTTGAGTTTAGGGCTTGTCACCTAACATCCTCCGTTAGGGTTTATTGCTAGCCACCCTGTGGGGTTCAGGGCTTGCCACCCAACATCTCCTTCCAGGGCCCTGCGCCCTGAAAGGAGATGCTGAGTTGCAAGCCCTGAACCCTAAGAGGAGATGTTCGCTGGCAAGACCTAAACCTTGAAGAAAAAGTCGGGTGGCAAGCCCTAAGCCGTTAAAGGAGATGTTGGATGGCAAGGCCTAGGCCGTGAAAGACTATGTTGGGTGGCAAGCCGGCGGCGTGCCTTAAATCCAGGAAGGATGTTGGGTGGCAAGCCCGAAATCCTAACAAGAGATGCCGGGTGGCAAGCGTTAAGCCCCTAAAAGGAGATGTTGGGTGGTCTTGGGCCAACACTTTTCAGGGTTTAGGGTTACCTAACGCTCCCCGACAACTCCTTTCAGGGTTTAGGGCTTGCCAAACATCATCATCATCATCATCGTCGTCGTCGTCGTCGTCGTCATCACCATCCTCATCATCATCTCCTTGTAGCCACCCGGCATCTCGACCGTCTCTTTGTAGGGTTCAGGGCTTGCCAGTGAACAAATGCTTTTCGTGGCCACCTGCCAAGCAGACCGCAACCCAACATCTCCTTTTCGGGTTTTCAGGATGACCACGGAACCGCGAACCCGCAAACCGGAACCATAGGAACCGAACCGTGAAAGAAATGCCCAGGATAGTGGAGAAGTCGTCATTGGTCGAATGGCTGCGGCTAAGGCGGCTAAGGCGTTGGACTGTAGATATCTTCGGTTCGAATTCCCCTTCCCGCAGCACGGGACACACCCTGTTACGGCCTTCCCGCCCAAAATCACCAAACATTGGTACGCATTGCGGGGGGGGGGTGTCCGGCCAGCCCGAAATGCGTACCCTGCACAGCCTTTTCCGGCCCCAAAAGTGGCCAAAAAAACTAATGAAAGGTACGCATTTCAATCAGGGTTCGCCCGAAATTCGTCCCCTGTACGGCCTTTTCCAGCACAAAGTGACCCCAAAAAGTCACGCATTGCGGGGGAAGGGGGGGTCCGGCCCACCCGAAATGCCTACCCTACACAGCCAAAGTGACCAAATTAGGCACCCAGATGGGGCGGCCCGCTCGAAATGCGTACCCCAACAAGCCTTATCCGACCCAAAGACACAACACAGGTACGCATTTCAGGGGGGGGGCCCGAAAAAAATGCGTACCCTGTATGGGCTTGTTTCGCCACACGACGCAAAATAAGTACACATGTTGCTACACATGTTGCTACACTGCCTTTCCGGTCGGCCTGGCCAAAGTGACCTAAAAAGGCACGCTCTGGTATCCAGGTCCTCCTCCTGGACGCGCTCATCTTCCCCCGCCCCCCCACCCCCCCACCCGTTCCTTCGTGGTTCTACGCATCTCTTCATCAATCAGTCGTTGCACTCCTTGAGCATGTGCGTCGCTCCCTCCACCCTCAAAAAAGTCCAGGTTAATTAGTCATAGCTTGTTTTGCTTAGTTGTAATTGTTTTGGCCTGCATGAGATTTTGGATTTTCGGAGGCTGATACCGTGAACCCTGACACGAAACATGCAGCTTTGGAGCCTTGAAATCGTGGCTCTCTCTTTGGATTTTCGGATGAGCTTCTCATGCCGACTCATGCCATCACAAAACATGATCAAACATGTGTAGTTACTGTGTCATTGAAATAGATGCTAACCTCGCTCCCTGCCTGGGATCCCATGGGCCGTGCTGCGGCAACATCCCCTTCGTTCGAACGAAGGGGCATGTGATCTGCCTGAGCGCAGCCGAAGCTGCGCCGCATTGCAACCCTTCTTGGGGCTTGCTCTGCGTTTGCACCACGCTCGAGCCATACCAGGGACTTGACATTGACTTCAGGTTCATCGCTGCTGCTTTCTTTGGCTTTGCCTGAAGAACGAGTGTAGCAAATTCAAAGCAGCTGATCTGTGTTGCCGTTGGTGGCCCTTACAGGCGTCTTGTGAAACGTTCTTCTCACGCAAGAGCTCCTTTGAAGCTTTGCAAACCCAGAAAAGCGTGCTAGAGTAATGAGGAATCGGGGCCTGTTCGATGGGTCTCAGCAATCTCGTGCCTACACAACGAGTGTTGTGTGCATATGCGTACATACCATAAACACTCATATCTGCGAGTCTACAGCTAAGTAATCTAGAATTGGAGTTCTGCTCGTCAGGTGACGACAACCGCCTTCTGCAAGTATCTGACCTCCTCTCTGAACTTGTCGTCTTGTCCTCAGCTCAAGGCAGATCCGGGACCATTGCAACATGCGCTTCTGGTATCTTCAGGTATGTTCTCAACTCTGTGCAGGCAGAGCACGCAACGGGGCATCCGCAAACCTTGAAGACATGACTGCGCAGCTCCGATGATCCAGTGTAGGGCGGCAAAAACGCAGAGAACGCTTGCGTTGCAAGTCGTCGGTGCCGCCAAGGAACGCTAAGGCACCAAGGTCCTCGAGAGGAAAAACATGTGGCAGTCAAACATTCTCGTGCCCATTGCCCCCGTACTTTGGATGTATGTGGTCAGCAAATCATCTACTTTTCACAACATCAAACGTCCCCCAACTCATGCGGTATGTATCCCATTTCACAGGGCAAATGCACATGGGGACTGCCGAAGTGTCCTGCTTCACAGCTTCCATGACCTAAACGCAACGCAACGGAAAGCGACGGTGCCCTTGCTTTCCAGTCCTTTCTCAGGGCCGCACCACTTCTGGGTCTGCACGGAACTCGAAAGGTGCAAACTGCAGGGCGGCCCCTCGCCGCTGCACCGCCTGACAGGGAAGGAAGATTGTTAAAAACTATGGAGAACCACCCTGAAAATACCTATTGATTGCTTGCGGGAACTCTTCACTCTGAACTTGTGACTCTTCTTTGCACAATGTTTATGACAGTTGAACTGAGACCATAAGCGATAATCGAAGGATCAACGCCAATTATAGCGCGGCCGATGTTTCGTGTATGGTCGCTCCTCGATGACGAAGCTCCTATCATTCCGCAGCCTGTCAGGTGCTAGGCGCAGCGCCTGCGGACAACATCAGCCAGCTTCTCAAAGACTCATACTGGTGCGTCGACAGCTTCACAAACTCTGCAAGCTCACGGGCAAACAGCTGAGTGGACCAATGCGGGCAGTTCGATAAACCGCTACAGTCGGAGTTGGTTCAAACACATACGGTAAACAGGGAGGAGCCTGCGGCGTTATCGCGGCGGCCCGGAGCATGAATCTCCGATTGTCACGCAATGAACCGGGGGCAAGCTCCTGATGTAAGTGAGGATGCCAACTTTGAGAAGCTCAAAGAGATGTCGAAACAATTGAACTGAAACGAAATTTGAGTATGGAATCGGAAGTAGCTTCCTCTCGCAAGGCCAAAGCGGCAACGTTCCGAAGGTACGTCAAACCACAAAGATAACGCCCTGCTGGGTCCCACTATGGGCCCACTCATGTTTCCCTTCAATGCTGTGCCCAGACGGCTTCTGTTGTCCGAGAGCCCGGAGCTTCAGGCCTCGATTTCTTGTGGCTACGTTTCCATGGCTTCCTTCTGTTTAGCTTTCAACAGTGCCACTTGCAAGCTGGGGTGCCACCTGAGGGCTTCTCACCACTTCCGGGATTTGTCCAGCTAATCTCGCTGTCGGTATTGTTCGGGCGGGGCAGGTGGAGTTTCTGCAGCCCCTCTATACCCTGGTTCCCCCATTCCTTCCTCTTGCTTTGGTGGAGCTGATTCCGGTTGAATGTCAGTATGAAGTTAGACCAAGCCAAACCCCAACATCCAAAAGCAAAGCTGCAATCATTCATTCAGGCTTACCGCAGGGAGACATGGGTGGGAAAGAGCGGATGAGGCAGGAAGTTTTAGCTGCGAACAATTCTTGAACTTCTTCACCCCTCTTTGCCCGTCCAGAGCTGCGCTGCCCTGGGCACCGCCCGCTGCGATGGCTGTAAGGATCAGCTCTGGGTCCTCTTGAAGTTATCTTTACCCACGGGGTCAAAGTAGGCCAAAGAAGGCATCTATGATATACATTGCTGTTCTCTGATCTCAGCTAGCCTGAAAGAAACCGCTTAGACTTGGAGCGTTGTGAGATGAATGGATTCTTCCCTTGTGTGTCGATGGATGACTGATGGCACTTTTAAGACGCGTCTTGTGCATGTTGTGGGGTTATGTCAGGCGGGAGGCTTGAAGTTGTACAGGCCGCAACATCAGGTAACGGTAAAGGGTCCCACAAACCTTTGCAGGATACTTTATACTAACTTGTCGATACTTGTTGCATCGTTGTGCGCCCCAAACCAACAAACCCATTAAAGGACCCTCGTGAAGTCACTGTTGTAGTGCGGCGTCAACTGTATACATGTTGTCAACGAAACGCGCTTCTAACATCCATCAGAACTATAACCCAGTCCTCCTGCAACTCAGGTGGGGCATGGGCCAGAACAGTACCTTAGCTGCGGTTGCATGCCGCGCAGCAGACCTGCCTGATCCCGCTGCCAAACTGGAACTGCCGAGAAGAACATGTACATTCGGAGAAGTACTGTTGCAAGTCTGCAAAGGCGGAGCAGCAATGCTTTGCTCAAAACTCAGTTGTGTCGCAATCATGCTTGATGATGTGCTGGACGAAGACCTGGCTTCCGGCAAATGCAAGATGAAGAGTCGGCAGGTAGCGGTAGGCCCTTAACTTGTATAGGTTATTCGCTGAGCGGTATTTTGAGCAGCTCACTAAGACTTCGAAACCGCAATGATCGCTTTCGTATTGGTGTGAGCATGTGTTTTAGTCAGGTTGTAGTTGTCAGGAAACCATCGAATCTTGGCATCTTGCCTTGTCAGATGCGAACTCCGGCGCAACAAATCGCAGAATACTTCCACCTCCTGCTGCGGCTGCTTGCAGCCTTATAGTGCAAGGGTGGCATGCTGGTCGACTGCCTCTGCCAACTGTAGACTCTCACATGGTGACTTGGGCAAAGAGCAGGAAGCTCATACTTCGCGACAATGCTTCAGGAAGCAGCCGAATTGCCGCCTCAAGCAACCGGGACGCAGTGCACATTCTGGTTCACGTTGGTGCACGAGATCCATGCGCGGCAAAGCTCTGTGCAAGTCGGCTAAGACGCTCCCGCAAGCTGACCATGTTTCACATCGCTTCACATTGTTTGGCACTGATTCACCACAATCTCCCACATCGATCTTCTGACCTCTGCTGTGCTGGCAAGACGCCGTGTTGGATCTGATGGCCTCTAGCGCGAGATCCTCCTGAAAGTTGCGAAATGTTGAAACCAGAACATGCCAGCACTCAACCGCATGCTTCATTCGTGTCTTTTCGTTTCGGGCTGGAGGGGGTTGCAATGGGGCTTGGGCAAGAAGCAGGTGTCATCTCTGTCCCTCTTTCGATCCAGACTTTCCAACGACATACATGAACAACTGAATGCCTTTCGACTTGGAGCGGTCCTCTTGCAGTAAGGCCGAGTCTGCAAACTGCAGGGCAAGGCCGTCCTGAAACTATGGGTCTTCGGGGTGACAAGCAATTTGCAATCAGCAGTCGAACGATCGAAGTCCTTTTGCACTGCTTTGCGGACCTGGCATTGCAACAGCAACGCCACATGTGCTAGTCCAGCTCCAGTGGGAGTTGTCATCTTAACGCAATCAAGGTGCAACATCTCCATCAGCTCCTGTGAATGGCTGTGCTCTTTCATTGGGAACATGCTCCAACTCTGTTTGTACAGACAGTAAGCTCCAAGGACTGCAAGAGACGCCAGGCAAAGTTCTTCTTGTTGGAGGCCGTTGTAATGCTTTGTAGCCACTAATGCTTAGTCAGAACTCTGGAAGCAGGCCTTTCATCTCACGCACAGACACCACAGGTCTGCTGATGCTCTGTGAAAAAAATTGGATAGGTGCAGGTGAGGCACGAAGCTCAGCTGAAGCAAATTCGAGGGCTAGTCCAGATTTCTGAAGAGCCCAGCCAACCACCTGGCAACACCAGTTCACAACAAAAGTTCCTACCACAAGGATTTGCGACCAGAGCGAATGGGAATCGCAATGAATCAAATATTCTGACCAGGCTATGCCACACTGGGCTCTCAAACGCGGTTCTAGCTATAGGTCCGCCAGAGCACATGCTACTGTATGTGGGCAGCCAAGTGCGCAAATTAAAGTTTCAGTTGCCTGTTCAAGCAAAAGGATTTCCAGCTCTTCATCCGGCCACTACTTGACCCTTGGTCCAGTTCGCCCTATCCGGAAACGCCTCACGATCTCCCCGTAGTTCGGGCGCGAGGAAGCGCAGCGTCGATGCATTGATGAACAGCAGCTGCTTCGCGAAGGCCTGGCCCAAACCACCGCCAGCAGAAACACTGGGTACCACAGCCGCCAAATGCGGCTGCTGCGCACGCTTCTCAACAATACCTCCAAGGCTTCTGACTAGACACGGCAAAGCTGCAGTCTCGGGATGCGATGCGCCTTGTCCCTGAGCACGTCTGCAGGACCTAGCTGCATTTGCACTTGATGCCGGCCATGCAACCAACAGTTGAGAGTTGCAACGAACCCGGCTCCACGTGCAGAAAACCCAAACCTCACGATTTTTCGCATCCGTGGTCTGTGATGGCACGGGCTTTTTTCTGAGGGTCTCACATTGCCGCAGGCTGTAGAAATTCCTGGAACATGTCATGTCGTGTACTTCGTTCAGTAACTCTGCCAGATGTCATGTGCAACTCGACTTGAAAGTGTAGACTTGCACCCAAGTTGCTGCTGCACTGCTTTGAGCCACACTTCTGGGTCTCGTATAAGCTCCTCAGGCAAATACTCCTTAGTTGGTACAGTCGGGGTTTTTTGCTGAGCGTGCTAGTGTCTGCTCGAGTCTGCTAGAGAGTCGTCACCGGTGCCACCACACAAACGGGGCCACCAAGAATCCACAGCATAGGCATTCAGCTCCACAGCCTTGAGCATCAGCTCCTGCTGGGCAATTTTCCACACATTCTTCAGGTCCATCAAAGTACGTGTTTGCAAGACTTTGCAAGCGAATTTGGGCTTTGTGCTACTCCTTTTCAGTGAAAAGTTCTGACGGGCATGGGCCCAGCACCAGCCGACCTTAAGCGCAAAGCGCTGAAGCGTTGAGCGACGTTTGTGGCCAGAAAGACGCATCTTGACCAGGTAGAAATGCTGAGTACAGAGCAACTCTCTCCAGCTTTCAAACGCTGAAGCCTTGTCTCGAGAACAAGATGCCCAGTTAGCAGCGAACGTCCGTACAGGAGAATTTGATTCATGCACTCATCATGCTGCCTATTTTCGCGGAACATCGTCAGGAGTTGATGGTCTGTGATTGAGCACGCCGCAGGTTGGCACGGATACTTGTGAGCTCGGTGTCCGCTGCCATTGCTCAGCAAAAGGACGGTGTTCAGGCAATATGATGGCTGTCCGTCATCAAGGCGACCTGCTCACCTTTCTGCTAGCGTCTGCCTACCAGTATCTACCACTTAGCGTTTGCTAGCCTTTGACAGGAACTTGCACAAGCTTTTCGTGAGAGATCTTGGGAACAGGTGGCTTAGGCACACTCTGTCGTACAGTGCGCAACAAACACTTGGGCCATTCACATGTTGTGTGACATGTCGAGACCGCTATTTTCATCCTTGCTCAGACAAAAGGGAGACAAGTAAAGGTGCGCATGTGTGCACTGACAGCTCTTGCTTTTGATCTGCGAGCAAATGTACATTGGCCTTTGATTCATTAACGCAGGAAAGGCTGGAGTCATGTGCTGTTCCGATGGACAGAAACGTTCACACTGGCGGTACATTTTTGTGTGGAGCACGAGCAAGCACGGGTTCAAACACAGCATAGAACAAAGGGGGGTTTCTCTGATCATGACCACCAGCCTCAGCTTATTTGAGCAAAGGGCCATGGGTGCTGTGCCACCGCCACTTCACAAGCTTCTGAAATCTCGCACTTTTGGTCGACTGTCATATCACTAGGAACAGGGACTTCAAGGATCTGTGGCGATGGAACTTCAGGCAGTGGCCTATGCAATCTCCGGAAAGGCGAACGAGCGCTCAGGCGCCTGCACTGCTGGCCTGGGAGAGGGATGCCTCCATGAACCTGTGCGAGAAAAACCAGGCATTCAAACATTGACAGGACACGGGTGCCACGCTTACATGCTACGGTGGTGTTAGGCGGTCTGGGTGCGGATCACAAACAAAACTCGGCGGTTTATGCTTATTTGTATTTGTTTTTTTTGAAAAGTGTTTCAATTTTGGCATTATCACCCCTCTACTGACCGCGGATTTCAGCGTCTTTCCGTGGAAAACTCGACACTGCTTTCTCACCATGATTTGTAATGCAAAAGGAGGCGTATATGAAGCCCTGTTTCTACGACACAAGCACTACAATACAACCTGACCTGGAGTTCCCCCAGGACCGACAAATCCCTTGAACCCTACGTATATGATGACATGGTGGAAGGTACCTAACCAGGAGCCTGAGCGGGTTCGTCAGGAGCTGGGGGGGGGGGGGGGGGGGGGGAATTTATGTTTCAGAAAAGGATGCTCTCCTTCCGCACTTCTTTCCGCACTCCGAAACAAGATTCGTACATAAACGCACTATCTCGCTCTTCTATAGCTACCTAATTTGTGACATAATCATTGTTGTCTTGTTGTCTGGTGTTCGTAACAGGTACTTGTACGACTTTTTTGCTTGCAGAAACGGCCTTCTCCGGATGCTGTAAGAGCAATTGAGTAGTTGCCATCCAAACCCAGCAAGAGCCCCGCAGCAAGTGGAGCCGGTGGCCCGACCGTGCAGGCCAAGGGGCTCCTGTGAGGCAGCGATGTCCTGGGAAGCCTCCGCAAGCAAATCTGCAAGAAAGCTCGTGCAGGACATGGATGAGCCCGTCATAGTCACCATGTGATCAGCAACCCTCGAATGCGCATGAGACAGAAAAGCTGATGGCCTGCACGGCCCGCCGCCATGAGATGCGCCGTGGTCGCACACGCCGTGCGGCACCAAGGTCGGCCACGGGCCTCCCCAGATTCAGCAGCGACCAAGATGTGGTCTTTGCTTTCCTGTTCCTCATCTCTTTCAAGGCTTTCAACTACAGTATCTGTCCGCGGATCTGGCGTCCTCCTCTATGGCAGGGTGCGATGGGCGTCTCACTTTGTAGGCTACTCTTGCAACAACAGTTCCACTTCCAAGTCGTGCAGTGGAGCCTCAACGGGCGCAGCCATGGTTTGACTGCCGCCTCGGTGCTGTCGTCATGCACTGCAATGGCCAGGCCACAAAAGCGCTGGCTGCTGGAATGCACAGTGCCGGCAATGCCGGCAACACCATGCATCCAAGCATCCCAGGACACTGGCCAGCACTTCCTGAGTATGCTGATCTCCGAATCATCCAAAGTCTGAGCTTTCCCAACATTCTCAAGGCGAGCTGCTGCCAGGCAGATGGCAGTGTGCGCCACTGGGCTGCGGAGAGTTCCTTTCCAAGTCGAAGCGCTCAGATTCGCAATGACTCGCCCAAAGACTGTCTTGGGTTCTGAGAGGCCGTCATGTTGCCGGCGAACTACAATGGGTTTTTTGCATGCTTTTGCCTTTGGTTTGGCGTTCACTTTCCTCGTTTTGCATACTGCGAGTCCTTCTTGAAGCGGCAACCGTTCTTGGCGGAGCAGACCAGAAACGGGCCTGTCACTTCGATTTGATTTTGAGCCGCTTCTGACCTGTCCTGAGCCCACATATATAGCTGGCGCATAAAGCCGGGCTTCCTGTAGACTTCTCGTGGTTTTCCGTGCCACCCACACTTCACATACCATCCGAAAGTGGTTGGTTGAGGCACTGCGGGTGGGGATCTTACGTTTAAGGCGGTACAGGCCCTGAAGGGTTTGACAATTTGAGGTTGTCGCCTCAAAGAAGTATTCCGAAATCCTGTGAACTCCTCACGTGCCCGACCTCGGCTTCCCAATGCAGGCTGCAACGCCAGCTGTCGACACCATGGCGCCAAACAACGGCCCCAACGCGTCTCCTCTCAAAGTCTTCAGGCAGGACCGCCACTCTGAACTACAAATGTGGCCTTGAGCTGTCTCTTTGGAGCTTCCTTCGGCTTTGGTGCCTTCTTTGGCTGCCTGTCCAGGTGTCAGCCATAAGGCCATAATCAAGGCAAAGGGCCGCCTGCGGCCCTGAGACTTGCATCCTTCTGGCCAGCAAGTGGCCTGGCTGCTGGTGCAGGCATTGTTTCGAGCTCCTGCACCGAAGTATCATGCATGTGCGAATCAGGCGCCGTTGTAATAACCGCATCAACAATGTACATTTTCGACCTAACATGCTTTCGACAACCACGCTACAAGCAAACTTTGCACGCCGACTTTTTCAGACAGCTGTGCCCAGCACAAACTGCTTGGTCCAAGATTGAGATCGGCCAAATAACCGCAAATATCCAAGCCCTTGCACGGGCCTGAGCCTAGTGTAGGGCCATGGTCCCTTTTAAACTGCTGGCACATGTTCACTGCACCTTTGTTTACGTTCAGCAGTGGCAGACCAGTAACTCCTCCACCTGTGGGTCGGGCGTGATGATACCCAGTTCCTGTTTGCCACCCCCCCCAGCCCCCCAAACTCCCTCTCTTTCCATTCTCGTAGCTTTCGCAAAGGGCTTCTGTTTGCGGGGCTGCAGTCACTGCAATGGACTTAGCTCTTTGGCACCGTCGCTCTGGCATCCGATACTTTCAAAGGGCTTGTCTCTTTGCACTGTCGCTCTGGGGTCCGACATGAGACTCTACTACACCCGTGAGTTTTTTTTGGCTGCGATTCTCGCATTTTACACTTTTCGCTCCGCAGGGCCGCCCCGGAACCCTGCTAACAACGCCAAACCGCAGCCACACCTTGGCAGTCCAAGAGCCCGCAGCTTGGCCCAAAAGAACAGGAAAGCATGCGAGTGTTTTGAAGTGACTGGTGGGCTGGCGGCTAGAGACTTGCGAGTTGTAAGGTGTTTTTTCACGTGCCAAGCAGCCAACTCAGCCAACAAAGGAGCAAATCATCAGGTCCCCACAACACCGATACCAAGAACCATCAAGAACCCCAACCCCAGCAAAAGCATAGCGCGCAACTCGAGCTCAACCTCCCCAGTGCCCAGCACTTCGGAAAACACTTAGATGTCTACTTAGCAGATGTCAGAATGCGCCCTCACGGATGCTCTAGACCATCCTAGACCTCACCTACGACCCTGCTACTTATCAACGCCTCAAAAACACATCTGCCTCCTTTGATCGTGTACATCATCTAGAATCTAGCCTGCGAAGTTGGACAGGGTCTACTGCCCTGCGGTCTCTGACGTACTGCAACAACTGCAAGAAATGCTGACACTCTTAAGCTGGGTTTTAGCTGTGATAGGGCAAGCAGAGCAGGGTAAAGCAGGGTAGCGACCTGTTTGAGAGCGTCGCATGTGCTTCGAACGCAGCAAGTCCTGTTTATGGTGATCTTCATTGCTAGGCTTCAAAAGAAATAACACACAGGCTGGGGGTTGGGGGAGGAGAGGTTGCAAACACAAAGCTCGCATGACGGGCTTAAGAATTGTTTCGCATGTTTTCTTTTTCTGAATGCAAGAACCTCTCTAGGGCAAGATCTTCACTATACACGAAGCTTGCAGGGCTCCAATGAAATTATTTTACTTCGAACATCCCCACCCTCTCCAGAGATACTCTGGGGTTGGGCAATTGAGGGACACTCGGGGTCCGGGGACACTCTGTGGTTGGGCACTCCAGGGAGACTCTGGGGTTGGGCACTCCAGGGAGATTCTGGGGTTGGGCACTCCAGGGATAGGGATGAGCGAGGAGTAGACCGGGCGAGGAGAAGAGTTCCGTGCGAGGAGAAGAGTTGAGTTTAAAATATTTTAAAATCTAACAACCCCACACCGAGGGTGGGGAATAATACAAAAGCGGGCGGGGGGCGGGGGAGGTGGATCCCAAGAACATTGTTCGTGAGGATCGGCAATGCTTTAAGGCGTTCCGGGATACTGCCGCCAGGTTACTAGATGTTAGTGTCACCTTGCATGTAAGGCTGTACGTGTGGTGCCTCGTCTGGGAAGTCAAAAGTGGAGTCGAAGGAGCCCGTGACCTGAAATTAAAAAAAGGGCGTGTCTAAGCTTTCGCCCTTGTTCTATCCTCTTTGCCTTGTGGCTAATCAGCTGTCTAAGAGTGTAGCAGCGGACTGAACCAGATCGTGCACTTCATCCGCGTTGAACTCTACGGCGCTTCTGCACATTTCTGCTGCACCTCACTTTGGACGGATGTGCCGGTGGCTGGCTTTTGTCCGGTTTTTCTCCGCTGTCATCACACTCCCCCGCTTCTGGAAACTGTGTCCCAATGAACACTGGCTAAGCTTCCGGCTACAAGCAAGATAACACATTGCCCAAGCCGGCACGTCGACTGCAATGCCGTCGTCCGAGCCACATTGGGAATCCTGCGTCCATTGTATGTGCATATGCAGCTCGAACGACTCGACTTTGCTCTGCTGAGCTTTCGAATTCGCTTGTACCTCCTGTCTGTGCTGTAGCAGGCGGTGGTAGGTCCTCGCTGACAAGCTCTCACAATGACGGTAATGGTAGGAACTGGTAGGAATAATTGAATAGTCTGTAACAGCAGGGGCTGATTTGCCAGGAAAGCATCGGTAAAAGCTCGAGCTCCCTTTGATCTATGGCCTCGGCTGTGATATGTACCCTCCACGCTACACACGTGCCGACAGCTGATTGACATCAACTTAAACTGCTGAATGACTGCGTGCCGCGCTGCAGTAGGTGGGCAGATCTCTCCTAAGGAAGCGTGAGGCGTCTGCGACGCCCCCAACGAACCAGAACGAGTATGGCTGACGCTGGACTGATATGTGTCCCCCCTGCCTTGACGAAGAATACCCCGTTGCTTCGCCGCCGTGGCCATGACAAGGTGAGGCTAAGTCCATCGGTTCTCCTACTGATGTCGATGCACCTGCATTGAAATTTGGACCGAAGAAACCTTTAACATGGCTCACATGTCTAACATTGCAAGCAGCTGTGAGAAGTAGTGCACCGAACAGCTTGTTGCTTCTCCCTTGCACTACCTTGCTAGTACAAGCTACTGTACAACAACAAAGTACTTTCTGGATGATCTTGTCCCATGAATGACCATGAGCCACTTGAGCTTTTTCAAGGTGACTTCACCCCCCTCAATTCAAAACAAATTGAGATGCCCGGCCATGTAGTGCAGATTACTATGCAGTCAAGATTTACCCAGTGCTTTACAGATACCTCTCCCTCTCAAAAATGTTTGGTATATACACAACAAACCCCAAAACACCTCTCGAGATCTGCAAAGTTGGCCGCAAGCAGCGCGAGGCAGATGCGACCAGCAGCCATATCTACCCAAGGCCTTAGGCCCGAGCTTATCGCTTTCATTGGAGCTGAGTTGGGGAAACCGTTGGATTTTCACTCCCTTCATAACGTGCTATTGTCTCCCTCATGTCTCGTTTTCTGGTGTCCGAGATGGGGAGCCGGATGCTGTGACGCGCTACTGGGGGAGGGGCAGGATTTGTCTCCCTTCATAACGTGCTATTGTGTCCCCTCATGTATCGTTTTCTGTTGTCCGAGACGGGGAGCCGGATGCTGTGACGCGCTAGCAGTATTTGCTGGCTCTTCTTTACATTATGCAACTTGCAACGTCCTCCTTTTTAATTTAATTCTGCGGTTTGAGTGGGTGGTATGCTTATGGGGCTTGTGGGCTGGTGTGTTTGGGTCACAGGTCCAGATATCGGAAGTGCTACCACGAACTTGCCAGGTGAACCATTTGACACCATGCGAATCCGCGAGCCAGGACTACAGCAGCTATGGGAAAATGTGACGGGGGCAGGCGGCAAGTACATCTGCATACTGCGCATGGTCCCAAGCGTTCATAGGAGTACTCACTTCGGCAAGTGATGGAGGTGCTGCCTGCGCCCATCCCTCACACAATTTCAATGTAGCCAGCTTTCGTCGCAAACGACATTTGCATTCACAAGTCCTTCGGACTAGCGTGAAAGTAGTTAAAGCTGAAACGGCAGCAAGGGCTGACAATAATGATCAGCCAAGATTAGAAGAAGTTCTTCCCGCTGGACGGATGGGCCTGCGCATTGCAAGCCAGGACATGCATACCTCACGGCAGACGCTGCTGTCCTGCACCAGGATGGGCCAGGTAACTTGTGCTGTACATTAGTCCTACAGCAGCGCTGGGTAGCAATCCCCAAAATCCTTTGGCAGGCTGGGTATGGCTGGGTCTGTAAGATCTTGTAAGACCAGGCTAGGCTGAGTCGAGCATGGAAAGCAGGGCTCGTATCCCAACAGCAGCGCCCAAAGCCACGAGCGCAAAGCCGGTGATGCATTTCAGACTGCTATCAGCAAGGAGTTCCATGCAGCGGCCGCCCAATAAAACAAACACCACGGACGTGAAACCGCTGAGGAGGCCCAATCCTGCATCTACTTTTCCAACGAAGAAGCCTGAGACGCAAGCACAAACCGTAATGGTGAATGTGAAGATGGTAGATATGGCCAAAAGAGTCTTTGGCGGCGTGCTTCCAGCGAATTGCACCCACATGGGTATGAAGATCAAAGGTCCTCCAACACCCCCAGCAGACGAGAGCAAAGCTGCGACGAAGGCTGTAGCTATGGACGTGGGTAAGGAAGGTGAGGCGAGTAGAGGTGTTCTAGAGATGGCTGGCACTTCTGCTGCCTTCCTTGCCGTAGCTGTCTCGGACGAGGTCTGCTCAGTTTGATCCTCTGCGGGGTCCTTGCAAGGGCAAAGATATACTATAGCCTAAGGTCACTTGTGCGTAACAAAAGCACAGACGAGACTTTCTTCTAAAAAAACTTCCAGTGCCGGCATCTGGCTTGCAGTTGCGGGATCCATGTTCCGCATGGCAAGCACCAATATGCGGCACATTGAGTGCGATTCAACGCAGCGGGCTTGCCGGCCGATGGTTTGGCTGTGCACCTCGCTAGGGCGGTCGCGTTGCCGTCGTTGCCGCCGTTGCCCTGTTCAACTTTGACGTCAATCTCTCTGATCTCGATCTCCGATGGGAGCTCCGCTGGAGAAGCTTCACTAGTTCCACCGTGGGCCTTCGGCTTGCCATTCTCGGCTGGCTTCGCTGCATTCACTGCGCGTTCCTTCGCAACTTTAATTTGGATCATCACTCCACTGCGAATGCAAATCAATGCCAGAGCAAGAGCCACAATGGAGGTTGGGATATAGGGTAGAAGTAGCTGGCCTGCCACAGCCCCCGGCGCTGCACCCATCAGCACAGGCCAGCTTTGTAGATTGCAGCGACCCGAGCTCCAAGCTTGGATGAATCTCGCGGTTGCCCCGAAGACGCCCGCAAAAAAGGACGTGGGCACGGCCACGCTCGAGTCCACTCCAGGCAGTAGCAGCAGGGCTGGGACGTAGATGACCCCTCCACCCATCCCGAAGCAGCCAATGATGAAGGCGCCGAAAGCACGAGCAAACTGGTTTAGCACAAGGTGCCACCAAACCAAGGGACTCGGATACTCGAAGAAGGTGATGTCGAACATGTTTCTTGGCCCACAGACGTGTCCCTAGGGCACTTTAAACAACGCAAAAACTAACCATTCGCTCGACCCAACACACTCACAGCGCAGTTTCAGAAAACATGAAATAAAGAAACACACACACACACACACACGCACACACACACACACCCCCACCCCCACTTACCCACCACCCACCCACCCACTAACGCGCGCATGCAAAGACGCCCGCGCATCTGAGACACATAGACTCAAACAGAAACACACACCCACCCACACACAACGTGACACTGACTGACACCCACACGCGCACACGGACGCACACGTGCACTTCCACGCGCGCACGCCGACACGCGCACACGGCGACACGCGCACACGGCGACACGCGCACACGGCGACACGCGCACACGGCGACACGCGCACACGGCGACACGCGCACACGGCGACACGCGCACACACAGACACGCGCGCACGCAGACACACGCACACGCAACACGCAGACACGCAGACACACGGACACGCACGCACCCACACCCACACACACACACACACACACAGCCACACACACACCGACACACACACACACACACACAGACACAGACACAGACACAGACACAGACACACCACACACACACACACACACACACAAACACAAACACAAACACAAACACAGACACACACACACACACACCGACACACACACCGACACACACACCGACACACACACACACCGACACACACACCGACACACACACCGACACACACACCGACACACACACCGACACACA